ATATGTTGGCAGTGCTTTCTTCTATTTTTAGATTCTGGCACTGCATTTTGCATTTTTACTCTGGTAACTAGAATTCCCCCCTTGCTGTGCTAAATTTTCTTCCAAATTTAGTAATGTGCAAATAGTGGCATTACATGGGTGTAACTCAGAGCACAATAAAGGTTGGCAAAGCTAAAATTATAAGGAAGCACTACCAAAATAATAGTGGCATACCTTGAACTGACTTCATTGTTCCTGGTTTCACTGGTATAACTAAATTTGGCCCCAAACTGTTTTACCTTCAAGAATCTTTTTGTAATTGTTTTCTCATTGGCGCTTTTCCAATGTTCATCTGTTGCTTCAGTTTCTTTCACATCAACATAGTAACCAGATACAGGGCTACGACCAGTATAAACTGGCTCTTTCCAAAGTAAAACCAAAGAGTCTTTCCTAACTTCAGTGCAGAAGAGATCATGGGGTGGTCCTAAATGAAAAAAACAAACGTGGAATCCCATAAATTAATTAAAATGACAAATAGGCTAATGTATAAAATTAATAAAGAATGTACTGTCTCAAAAAACTGGGGGCTAAGTCCAAATCTGGTGCAAGCCAGTATTGCTCCATTTTATCTTGTATATCAAGAATGAATATTGTCCTGATCATGTTAAATTGAATTAGCGCATAAAATAATCAAATTTATTTTGTGACATCCACTATCCTGACCACATAGTCATCAACAAACATAAATGACCAACAATATCAAATATTGGGGGGAGAGGGGGTGTTAATTATTAAACCCATTACTAGATCCGGATTGCTATGTGTAGCACTGGGCTACTCAGCCCTGTATGTTGTGTGGCTATTTACACATAAGCTACTCTGATGGACATAGTATGAAAACCTCAAGAAAAAGAAATGCAAAATACAATGTTGTTGTAAAATCCTGCTTAAGATCTATTTTGCAGAGCAGTAAATGACTGTTCCATGTACAAGGCAGTAGAGGTTCAAGCCCTTATTGTTTTGCAACCTCTCCTCTTCACCTCCATTGAAACTGAGGGCACTCAAGCACTTGCATTATGGAACTGTTGAGAATACAGAACGGGGCAGCGTTCCTGTTAGAAGTACTGTTCTTTCCTCCTGTTTTCAATGTGCCTTTGTTATGTTAAGCTTCATGATATAAAACTTCAAAGCTACATTCAAGTTTTTACCTGGAACAGCAATGCTCCATTCTTCACATTTGAAGGAACGGCTAGGTGGGGAAGGAGTCCCAACTCCAGCCACATTAGTAGCAGCCACTTGGAACTGGTATATCATGTTTTCCTTTAAATTGGTAATCTGCAGGACCAAGAAAGTTGTACCCATTAGCTTTGCTTTAAAGCTATGAGAGATGGAAAACTGGCTATTTCCCACATGAAAATTCATAGAACCTGTTCCAGTGTTTTACTACCCTCCTAGTGAGAAAATTCTTCCTAATATCTAACCTAAACTTTCCTTGCTGCAACTTGAGACCTTTGCTCCTTGTTCTGTCATCTGCCACCACTGAGAACAGTCTAGCTCCATCCTCTTTGGAACTCCCCTTCAGGTAGTTGAAGGCTGCTATTAAATCCCCTCTCAGTCTTCTCTTCTCCAAACGAAATAAGCCCAGTTCTCTCAGCCTCTCCTCATAAGTGACATTATCTAATACAAATCATCTTTGAAATCCTGTATGATAAATAGATTAAAACACTATTACAAATTATTTCTCTCTCTCTCCTTCTCTGTCAACATTATTAATATCGTAGTTTCCATTATGAAGAATGGAAGGACATTACAAATGAGACCTTGGTACTTTGCGACTTGGACAAACCTTCTGTAAGCAAAGTGAAGAGGGTTTGAGACTATGACTGTTCTAAATGTGCTCAAATTGTAAAACCCTGCCCTTAATGATAGACAGTATGCTAGGTAAAAATAAGCAAGACTGTTACCAGCTGAACATTAAATATATGAGTCATTCTGCTGACACAGAGCAGGATGGTTTAGAGCAAGAACTGTCCTTGCAAATTGCACATTTGTCTATGACATATAGCAGCCTTGCAAGTGAAATCAAGATCTGGCCACAGACATTAGTCAATAGGACAGAATATGTGGGTACATGAAGACATTATATTTAGATCGACCTGACTAGGTCAACTGCCGGTCTGTGACTGGCCCTGCATGCCAGATCCAGCAAACGTCCTAGAGCAGCTGGGGTGGGCACTGTATGCAGCACAGTCCCAGAGTGGTGGAGTGGCTGCTGCAAACAGCGAGACTCTGGAATGGTGGAATGTCATGCAGCCACTTCAAGGCCGTGCTGCTTGTGGTGGCCACTTTCCTGCTCTGGCATGTGTGTCAGAGTAGGCACCATGTGTGGGATGGTCCCAGAGTGGCCACTGCAAACAGCATGCAGGGCCATCCAATGTGTGCCATACGTTGCCTGTGGGTCAACTCCAAGACCCATGGGCAGCACTGTGGGCCAAATGATAGGGCTCCATAGGCTGGATCTGGCCTACAGGTGGTATCTTTGACAACCCTGTTCTAGCGCATGAAATATCATTTTTTAAAAGCTGTCATATATTAAATTGGAGGACAGGTGTCTGAGTCACATTTAATAGACTAATAATACTATTTTATCTAGCATCTTTCTATGAAGGATTCCTAAACACTTACAGATATGGCAAATAACTTCTGCATAAATTTAGCAATATTTGGCACTTATGAATGAGAAAACCAAGCAGTTAGTACATTAGCATTTGGTTACAAAAATTCCATTTCACAGGAAACAATAATTTGTAATGTGTCCTTTTCTGATCCAGTTTTTAGGAACTGTATTTTGCTATTTGTACATTTCTAATTCACACATAGCAATATGAAACTTAACCTCTTACCCTATATGCCCTCTCACTGATAGGTTTAATGTTAGCCTCTTTCCATTTCCCAGGAATTCCATCAATCACTTCACGATAGTCCACATAGTAGCCTGTAATTTCAGCCCCGCCAATGACTTTAGGCTGCTTCCATCCTAGCACCATGGAATCACGAACACTCTCCAATACAGTGATGTCATAAGGTGGTGATGGGGCAGCTGTTTCAACATGAACAACACATGAGTAAGAAGTAACCATTGTATTAACTAAAGATATATTTAATTGAATTTCTTGGGTAGGCCCATCTTCTATTTTCTAATCAGGAAAATCTCTTATTGGAATCAATGGATATTTTGCTGGAATAAGGAATGCAGGATTCAGGCCACTGTCAGTCCCATAAAACTCCAAACTGGATAAAAATCAGTTGGACTGCAACAGTTGTTTTTTTCAGGAAGTAAGCTGATACATAGTGAAAGTGTGTGTTGCAACTGCAGCTCTTATAAGTGATTTTTTTATTTTACAAAATGGTGAAAAATAAAACTAATACTATAGCAGACTTACAACATTTGGAGATGCAATGATTTATTTTCTTTTGCTGAAACCAAACTTTTCCCTCCCACACACAATATTTGCTTAACTTCCTATTTTTTTAACACCATACTCCTCTGATAAGAGCAGACCGCAATCCATTTGTTCTCTTTTGGTACCCCTACATTGTAATAATGTTATCATTGCACCTTCTGGGTAATCTTACCTTACTGAAACAAGACGCGATCATAACCACTGCAGTCTGATCAGAAATGGAAGATGCCTGTTTCTGGAGCTCAGTTTAAAAACACTTGCAGCATAATTATTTTTCTTTGTTTAATCAACCTAGAAAGCATGTAACTTCAGACCCCCCAATCAAATTGACTGGCTTGCCATATCTCCTCTATTTATATTGGTAGCATATTGATACACCTCTGAGGCTGTGTCCACATGAGCATGGACATTTGTTTCCCTGGGGACAAGAAGCAGCAGCACACCTTGTGCCATTGCTACTTGTCCTCGGGGAAAGCCTGTGCCATGTACCGTCTGGCACACAGCAGGTTACCCTAGGTGGAGTAGAGGAGGCAGGGGCTAGCACTGGGCTGGCCCCAGCAGCCTTTCTTGGGGTCCCGGGAGCCTTCTGGGGCTGCAGAAGTGGCAATCCTGTGGCTCGGACCCTAGCTGGCAGCTGGAGTGTGGCTCTGGCTGGCTAGGTTCCGGTTTTGAGTGGCACACGTTGTCCCCACATGCACCATCTTGCTTCTTTTTGTGTGGGTTTTTTGACCCCCAGACGTCCCAGGGTCATAACTCCCTATCCCCCTGTGTCCCGTGCCACTACCTTGCAGCACAGAGAACACCTGAATGTGTGGCATGTGTGGCATGTGTGGCACATGCCGCATGGCCATGCTCATCTGGATGCAGCCTGAGAGGCTTTCTTGGTCCCACTTTAGATGAATCTCAGACATCTTTAGAGTGACCTTATTTGTAGACTCATCTTTCAGAATAATACATCATCTAGTCAGTTAATTTAAAAAGGTACAGGAATTGGCTAAAACCATCATGAAAAATTTAACATCATGAATAATTAGCTAAATTTAAGTTAACTATTACTGAAATGTACTTTACAGTATCTAGGTATATCTTCAGATAGGTATAGGTAGTCCAGTGCCACAGTGCTGGGCATGAATAGATAGATATGTGCAAGGAAAGGCTAACTGTATGCATATTACAGTACTTTGTATATTTCCTTTTATTTTCTTTATGCTCTGATTAATGGGTTATGACATTTGGACTAATTTAGAATGGATTTACTTAGGTGATCAGTTTATATCAGCTGACCCAATGTTCTTGATGGTTCAATGTTCTTAAGTGTTGATTGCATATAACTTAAATGCTATGTATACATATTCAGGTTTTATGGTGTGCTCTATTAAGTATTCCTGTCAATAAGAGATACAACACAATATTCACAAGCATTCTGTCTTAAAGCATAGTTCTAAAACTAGGCATAAATCTACAGAGGACTGCCACATACTGGACAGTGGCAGAGATGTCTATGCTTTGCTTCCTTTGTATACAACCTGACAAACAGGGGGAAGAACATCTTTGCAGACAGGCTCACTAACCTACTGAGGAGGGCTTAAACTAGGTTTGCCAGGGGATGAAAAACAAAGCACTGAGGTAAGTGGGGAAGAGGGGAACCTGGAGGAAGCAGAAGCAAGAGAGGCTTCATTCTTCCTGAGAAAGTAGGGCAATCAGCTAGTCACCTCAGGTGTCTGTACACGAATGCATGGAGCCTGGGAAAAAGCAGGAAGAATGGAAATCTTCACACAGTCACAGAACTATGATGTGATTGGAATAACAGAGAGGTGATGGGAGCTCGCATGACTGGAGAACTGCCACGGATGGGTACAAACTGTTCAGGAAAGACAGGTAGGGGAGAAGAGGAGGAGGAGCTGCACTGTATGTAAAAGAACTGTCGTACATACTCAAAGCACCAGTATGAAACTGGAGGTAGGACTGTTGAAAGTCTCTGGGTTAAGATCAGAGGGGAGAGCAACAAGAGTGATGTTGTGGTGGGTGTCTGCTATAGACCACCAGACCAGGAGGATGAGGCGGATGAGGTTTTCTTCAGACAACTAGTGGAAGTTTCCCCATCACAGACCTCATGGTTTTCATGACATCTATTGGGAGGGCAATACAGCAGTGCACAAGCAGTCCAGGAGGTTTTTGGAGAGTGTTGGAGAAAACTTCCTGGTGCAAGTGTTGGAGAGACCGACCAGGGGCCATACTCTTCTTGACCTACTTCTCACAAACAGGGAAGAATTGGTAGGCGACATAGAAGTGAATGTCAAGTTGGGCAGCAGTGACCACTAAACGATCGAGTTCAGGATCCTGACAAAAGGAAGAAAGGAAAGCAGCAGAGTACAGACTCTGGACTTTAGAAAAGCAGACTTTGATTCCCTCAGGGAACTGATAAGCAGGATCCCCTGTGAGGCCAGTCTGAGGGGGAAAGAGGAGAGCAGGTTGTATTGTAAAGAAATCTTACTGAGAGCACAGGAACAAACTATCCTGCTGTGCAGGAAAATAGTAAATGTGGCAAGTGACCAGCTTGGCTTAGCAAAGAACTCTTTGGTGAGCTTAAACACAAAAAGGAAGCTTACAAGAAGTGGAAGCTTGGACAAACAACCTGGGAGGAGTATAAGAGCATTGCTTGGGCATCCAGGGATGAAGTCAGAAAGGCCAACACACAACTGGAGTTGTAGCTAGCAAGGGATGTGAAGGGCAACAAGAAGGGTTTCTATAAGTATGATAGCAACAAGAGGAAGGTTAGGGAAAGTGTGGGTCCCTTACTGAGTGGGAGAGATGACCTAGTGACAGATGAAAAGGAAAAGGCTGAAGTACTCAATGCCTTTTTTACTTCAGTCTTCACAGACAAGGCCAGCTACCACAGTACTGCACCTTGCAGCACAGTTTGGGGAAAGGTGAGCAGCCCTCAGTGGTGAAAAAACAGGTGAGGGACTATTTAGAAAAGCTGAATGTGTACAAATCCATGGGGCCAGATGCAATGCATCTGAGGGTGCTGAGGAAACTGGCTGATGTGATTGCAGAGCTGCTGACCATTATCTTTAAAAACTCATGGTGATCAGGAGAGGTCCCAGATGTTTGGAAATGGGCAAATATAATGCCCATCTTTAAGAAAGGGAAGATAGAGGATATGGGGAACTATAGACCAGTCAGCCTCACCTCAGTTCCCATAAAAATCATGGAGCTGGTCCTCAAAGAATCTATTTCTAAGCACTTGAAGGAGAAGAAGGTGATTAGGAGCAGTTAGCATGGACACACCAAGGCCAAGTCATGTCTGACCAACCTGATTGCCTTCTATGATGAGATAAGTGGCTCTGTGGATGTGGAGAAAGCAGTGGGCATAATATACCTTGACTTTAGCTGGTCTTTTGATACCATCTCCCACAGCATTCGTGCAAGCAAGCTGAGGAGGTATGGGTTGGAATAATGTACTCTAAGGTAGACAGAAAGCTGGCTGGATTGTTGGGCTCAACAGGTAGTCATCAATGGCTCAATGTCTAGCTGGAAGCCAGTATCAACTGGAGTGCCCCAGGGGTTGGTCCGGGGGCTGATTTTGTTCAATATCTTCATTAACACTCTGGAAGATGGGATGGATTGCACCCTCAGCAAGTTTGTAAGTGATACCAAACTCGGGGGTGTACCAAGCGATACCAATGCTGAAGGGTAGGGCTAGGATTCAGAGTGACCGAGACAAATTGGAGGACTGGGCCAAAAGAAACCTCATGAGGTTCAACAAAGACAAATGCAAAGTCCTGCACTTAGGATGGAAGAATCCCATGCGCCACTACAGCTTGGGGATGGGCTGGGTAAGTAGTAGATCTGCAGAAAAGGACCTGGGGGTTACCGTAGACAATAACATTGATACAAGACAGCAGTGTGCCCTTGTTGCCAAGATGGCTAACAGCATACTGGGCTGCATTAGTAGGAGTATTCCCAGCAGATTGAGGGAAGTAATTATTCCCCTCTATTCTGCACTAGGGAGACCATATCTGGAGTACTGTGTCCAGTTTTGGGCCCCCACTACAGAAAGGATGTGGACAAATTGGAGAGAGTCCAGTGGAGAGCAACAAAAATGGTTTGGGGGCTGGGGCACATGACTTATGAGGAGAGGATGAGGGAACTAGGTTTACTTAGTCTACAAAAGAGAAGACTGAGGGGGGATTTGATAGCAGCCTTCAGCTACTTGAAGGGAGGTTCCATAGAGGAAGGAGCTAGAGACTGTTCTCAGTGGCGACAGATAACAGAACAAGGACCAATGGTCTCAAGTTGCAGCAAAGGAGGTTCAGGTTGGATATTAGGAAAAATTCGCTCACTAGGGGGGTGGTAAAGCATTGGAACAGGTTATCTAGAGAGGTAATAGACTCTCTATCCTTGGAGGTTTTTAAGGCCCGGCTTGACAAAGCCCTGGCTGGGATGATCTAGTTGGGGATGGTCCTGCTTTGAGCAGGGGGTTGGACTAGAGCCCCTGAGGCTCCTTCCAACCCTAATTTTCAGAGATTCTGTGATTCTAACCTAGGGCGTAAATAATAAGATTCCTAACAGAGTGAATTGTTGGCATTTGTTCAAAATACACTTTTCAGTATGCTATGCAAACATTGTTACTATCCCCATAAAAGTTACTGAAGTATTTAAAAGTGACATGATACTTTGGATAAATAAACATACATTATAGTAAAGCAAGCTCTTAAATTAGTTAACAATTTTAAAAGTTTCATTGCCAATAGGCACAATGTATATGAAATGACCCCCAATTTGTTACATGCAGGATGACCCTTAATGGAAAGCTGAGGATGTATCAAATAAATCTGATGAAGGATGCGTTGAGGAGAATGTTCATTTGTGACTTGGATGATCAGGGATGATTAAGTGAATGCCCTGAAGTGATGAAATGGGTTGATTTTATTAGCTCTCACCTATATCTGTCGTCTTTTTCACTTTTTCCAATGCCAAGGAGTCCCCAGGTTGATAATTACTTGCCTGCTTAGAAGCTCCCTTCTGTGGTGAAGGTGTGGGACCATCTTTTACCGTTTCACTCACTTTACTGACTCCTGTATGCCCCAGTTTATCAGAGCTACTGGGCAGTGTATGTCTGTTAAATTTAGCATTGCATTTTAGCAAAGCATCTGTGTCAAATATAGGCTGGGAGGACTCATGCATGCCTTCCCAACTTGTAGTGTAGTCTGTTAGTCCACCAGCTTTACCACTCAGTTCAGGACACACACCATGAAGCAATCCTCCCCCTATAATTACCAGAAAATAACAAAGACATTTTCAATTAGAATTCATCCTTATTTCTTCATTTACTTAACAGAATGAAGAAACTCACACAGGTAACAACACAGGCAGAACATAAACAACATGTTTTTAATGGACATTATGATATTCACAAATTTGAAAAGCACACAATACCTCTCACCCTCCTCGTCCCAACCAAGACTTTTTTATGGTATACATTTTACAGTACATGTGAATGCTCCATAATTTAGAAGCTAGTGGGGTTGGGAGGTATGTCAGTTTAAGACAAACTAGAGTTAGAATGTACACATACATGTTAAAATGTAAACAGACAATTTATTCTGGCCCAGTGAGTTCATTCATCTTTTTGTATTAATTCAGGCAATAGCAAAATGGAAACAGCTTGCCACCAGAATGGGGGAAGCACATGTTTTAGAAGCACAGAAAAGCATCATAGCAATATTAGTAAGCTCAGATATGAAAACAAATCAGGTCGTTAGCATTAGAAAGTGACTTTATGAAAGATGGTGTGTATTAGGTGATAAATAGAGATGATAAATACCACATTATAGAATCAGACTGCAACTCCATTTTCCAGCACAACTGTGAAGTGAACTTAGCAGTGTTTTCACATAGTGGTTCATGAATAACATCCAAGGAAGCCTGCATGGTGAAGGTGAATGGTCTATAGTACAGGGACTCAGTTACTGCAAAAGGATGGCTGTGAGGCATTACATATAACTTATAAGTAAATCATTATCTGTGGACAGCTCCATAGAACATGTCATTAGTTACAAATAGTTGCTAAAAACTATTGGTGAAATATGTTTTTGCTTTTTTGCTTACCATTGACCCTAGCAATGAGAAATAGCTTACCAATGGCTGCTTTCACTTGAATAGCCTCTGATTCCTGTGAAAATTCACTGAGTCCAGCTGCATTAACAGCTCTGACTCTGAAAACATAGTTTTCATCAGTCAGGAGTCCATGGCAAATAAATCTAAAATAAAATGGTGAAGGAATATTTAGAGAATACTGAAAGAAGTCCAAAAAAGGCAAGACAAAACTACAGCATCATTTTTTTTTTGGCTTTTGGAACTCGGCACTGAAATTCTGACTACTGTGGTTGACAGAAGTCATGCTATTGACCAGGAGTTCACCAATATGGTATCTGTAGTGCAGTAAGACACAAAGGAAACTTAGATATTAGCAGAAAGGCTGACAAAAAAATTAATCTCAGGAACACATAAAGCTTTTTCAACAGCAAATTCTGGAAATAACTGATCAGTACGTGAATGATTTTATTAGGAGTGTTAGGATTCTGTCTCATAAAAATGTTGCACATGAAGCTGTGTAAACCAGGTGAAATATGGAAAACTTAAATGAAGATAAGACTTGGGTGATGATGAGCAGGACAAGGAACAGACGGAAATAAGACCTTACATAAACGATAGCATTTCTCTGTAAGTCTGAAATTATTTCTGCCTAGTAACAGAGAAAGGTCAAAGAATGGAAGATAATGACGCTAACATTAGCCTTGTTAATAAATTACTGTAATAGGTCATAACATACCAGACTTGCTTCTCAATTAAAATGATATAGGCACTAATTCCTATCAAATTACCAAAATTATTCTGGACTTCCATCTGGGATCAGAACTGGGATTTTGTGAATTTAGGATCTAATTCTGAAAAGCTTATTCAGACTAAATTCTCCTGTGGCCAAAGATTGATTTAATTTACTAAGGTATATATATCTTTAATATATATATTAACTTTATTAACCAACTAGCTAATTGCCTGTCAAGAATGAAGGGGGGGGGGGTGGAGCAGGAAGGGATGGAGCCCTGTGGCCCCTTCCCTTGTGATGCTTCGGGTC